GCCCAGAGAATCTTTCAACACAGAATCTTTTGACACAGAGGCAACCGCAATAGGCTTAATAGTTGTGAGGATGGCACAGGACCGAGCAATGTTTCATTCTGTTGTGCACTGGATCACTATGAGTTTGGAGCCTACTCCAGGGCACCTAACAACAACAGACATCTCTCTTCTCTCCAAACTTACCACCTGCCTCCTCTCCTACCTTAGCATATCCTATACCAAGTTGTACTTTACAGAGAGAACAGAAGTCACCAAACCTGCCTACCTCCTTCCTTCCCATTTCTTCCTTCTCATTTCTTTTACATCAGAGTCCTCACATCTGACTAGGATTGCTAGATTTGTCATCATTGTTGTTAAGTGCTATCGAGGCAGTTCCAACTCATAGCGACCATGTATAGGGTTTCCGAGGAGCGACCTTGTAGTTAGCTAGCAGTCCAGTGCTTATCCTACAGCATTACATCAGGAGCCGAGAGTGGCCAGATTTAGCAAATTAAAATTCAGGATGCCCAATTCAATTGGGAGTCCTGGTGTGATGCTGTAGGATAAGCACTAGACTGCAAGGATGTTTGAATCACAAGATCACTGGTTCAAACTCACCAGTCGTTCTTCAGACACCTTATATAGTGTTGCTATGAGTTGAAACCAACCCAACAGCATTTAACACATACACACAATTTAATCTGAATTTTAGATAAACAATGAATATATTTTTTAAAAAAAGTATTACATGGGCTGGACTCCTGGTGTGGCGCTGTAGGATCAGCCCTGGACTGAAAACCCCAAGGTTGGTAGTTCAAACCCACCAGCTGCTCCTTGGAAACCTTGTACAGGGTCATGATGAGCAAGAACCGACTTGACAGAATTTAACAATAACAACAAAAGCATTGAATGGGCCATACTTTCACTAAGAAAAGTCATTTCGTGTCTATTTGAGATCCAGATTTAACTGGGCAGCCTATATATGATCTAACACCCCTGCTCTAGTTTGCGCTAACTCCTGCTTTTTGCGGAACCTTTTACTCCGAACTGTCTGAAGCTCTAGTCCCTCCTCTCTTTTTGACCATCTCCACAAACATCTAAACATACTGACCACTAGGTTTCAACTTTTAGATGGCCCAAGAACACTTCAAATCAATAAATTTCATATTTGATCTCCCTGCAGCCTCCCATATCCCAGGCCAGCAAATAGGTTATCCTTAAATCCTTGGCAGTTTAATCTACCACTTTAATTTTTTTCCCTTCAATCCACCCATTTGTTAAAATAATAATAACAACCATTTACTCCTTACTCTGTACCAGACTATGTGCCGTGAGTTAAGTTTTAATCTCTGTTTTATGGATGAGCAGACCGAGGGCCAAAAATCTTCAGCACCTTGCCCAAAGTAACACAGTTAGTCAATGATGAAAAGGTTGGATCCAGTCAGTCCAGGTTCAGAGTCAGCTCCTAAAAATAATTGTCACCCGTACATCAAACCAAGTCATCTTTTCCACTATGACTGCAACAACTGGAGGTTTGCTGCTGTTGCCAAGGTTATTTTTTTTTAAAAAATGTTTAATACTTGATATTTACAAGAATATATGTAATATATGATGAATACCTTGTGAGATAATTGTACAACAGAATACTACTCAACAATCAAAGTGAATGAAATTTTGATACACACAACAGTATGGATGAATCTCAACCTATTTTTTTTTTTTTTTTTTTATCTCAACCTATTTTTGCAGAGTGAAAGAAGTCAGGCAAAAGAGAATACATTTTGATTCTTATTACATGAAATTCTAGACATGCAGGCCAATCTGTAGTGACAAGAATCAGATTGTTGTTGTTGTTGTTAGATGCTTTCAAGTCGACTCCATCAAATAGCAATCTTATGTACAACAGAATGAAGCACTGCCTGGTCTGGCTCTATCCTCACAACTGGTGTTATATTTGAGCCCATTGTTGCTGCAACTATGCCAATTCATCTCAGCAGTGATAGCCATCGTCTACATCCTCTTCTGAATCTGGCTTGAATTTCTGTCAGTTCCCTGTCAATGTACTGCTTCAATAGTTTTTTAAATTAGCTTTAGCAAAATTTTACTTGCATATGATAGTTATTATATTGTTCAATGATTTTTTTTGGAAGCAAATTTACAAAATATATGTATATTTATTTAAATATCCTAAGGGTACATTCTGTCAGTCAGCCTCCTGCCCACAGACCCACAGCTTTTCTCAGTCCATGGGCCTAGAGCCTGCAGCTGCTCTCTCTCTCCATGCCACTGCCTCTGCTACCATCTCTGGTGTCACCACTTTTCTAGGTAGGGATCTCACACTCCTCTTGTGCTCTTCCTTGTTGATGGTCCTGGGATCATCTGTTCCTGAGATGAAATATTAACTATGTCTTCCTTTTCATTATACATCTTCCACAATTTCATGGTAAAAATCACAAATAATCCTGCTAACAGTTACTCACAGCTGAGTCATAGTATCCTATCACTTTCATTCCCCCATCCTCTTTCACCAGATCCATCTGGAAAAGAGGGAAACTATTCCATGAGAATTCCACCTTCCCGCCCCCCCCCCCTTATTCTGCAACAAAGTGTGCTTGTGAAAGCTTGTAAACCATCCATTTTGTGCCTTTATAGCCTCCCCCCATTTTTGATAGCCACTCTCTAAATTTCTTATCCCTATTAACCCAATTCACAGAGGAAACAAGGTTGTTCCTTGATATGAGGGATCCTTCCATTCCAGTTGGAATTTTGAGTCACTGCATCCATAGGCAAAAATCTAGTTAATCAAATTGTAGCAGCTTGCACTTGTTCATAGTATCAAACATCTTTAGCTCTCTCAGCTAGAGTTCTGGTCAACTAGCCTTCCAAGCTAGGTCAAATGGGTACTAGCTGCAAATTTGGGAATTCACATACACCTCCCTGCTCTTCAGACCAGCTGGCCACTTCACTCTCACCTTAGTCCTTAGGAGATAGGTCAGTGCCCATGGGCTCAAGAGTTCACACATCTCCCTAAACTTCAGACCAGCCAGGGCTTCCTTTTTTCTCTCTCATCTTGGAGTCAGTAGGTGCCAATAGATCATGTACAAACTCAGCCCATGTCTTCATTGCTGCATTTCTCTCACTTCCACTCACAGGTAGATCCAGACAGCATACTAGAGTGACTGCTCATGGGTTCCCTTTGAGTTTCAGTCCTAGAAGGGAGTTTTCCATGATGGACTGACTTTTCTTTCCTTGATGCCTCCAAAGCAAACAGTTTGCTTGATATTCAAACAGTCCACTTTTTTTCACCCTGCGGTCTTTCTTTCAATAAAAATGTGATGCAATTACTCTTCAATTTATTGTTCTCCACATAGTAAACCATATGATTGTCTGATTCAAAATGGACAATACCAGACCATTTATCAATCTTTATGCGTTCCGTCTCATTTTTGCCATATTCCAGTTTCCCTAGATTCATACTTTGTACATTCCACACTCTGATTATGAATGGATATTTGCAGCTGTTTCTCCTCATTTTGACTTGTGGCCCATCAGCAAATGGATGTCCCTGAAGTTTGCTCCATCCATGTAATTATGGTCAATGTTACTTTGAGGAGGCAGCTCTTTACCAGTCACCTTTTGAGTGCCTTCTAACCTGAGGGTCTCATCTGGTGGCACTATGTCTGACAATGTTCTACTGCTATTCATAAGGCTTACAGTGGCTAATCCTTCAGAAATGGTCTGTCGGAAATGATTTGATGGCACTTACCAAAAACATGTATATATATATATATATAGTTGTTAAGTGCTATCAAGTCTTTTAAGACTCCCAGAGACCCTGCATGGGCTTTCTGAGGAGCAACTGGTGAATTTGAACTGCCGACCTTGTGGTTCGCAGTCCAGTGCTTAACCTACAGCACCAAACCAGGACAATTTTGAGTTTTAACGTTTGTTATCATAATCACATTCTTAGGATACAGTTGAAATAATTCAGTCTATTTGAATTCAAGTTTCAAGACCAATAGAATGTATCTTTTCCCTAATTGACCATCATTTGCGTTTCTTCACAAACAGGAATCTAACACCAGGCAGAAAGTTTAAGAAAATATGTGAGAAATGCATGCTTCTTAAGTTAACCTTGTTCTGAAGTTGAGAACATTGTTTTTACAGTCGTGATGGTTATGGACCAGATCTAATGTACAATATATCACAACAACATTTGTAGCGCATTAGGCTAGTAGGTGGCATCGTAGAGAGTTAATTTAGCCTAGGGTTCTCCTTAGAAGGAAAACTCTCAGGATTTAGGCACCCTGCCTGCACAGGACAAGGGGTAATTATCATTTCTTAGTGGGCAATACCATTAGATGAATAATGCTAAGTGACTGATGTGCTGTTTTCTTTGTTTGCTAGTTAAGTGTATATGGAAACTCCAGTTGGCACTTTGATGAAGTACGAAAGCAGTGTTATTTTCACCAGTTCCTGAAAGAGCAACCTGATTTGAATTTCTACAATCCTGATGTTCAAGAAGAAATAAAAGTGAGTATAAACACCCACATTGACTTCTCCATTACATGGAGGCTTAAGTGGTGATTTGAAACACTTCTTTATGTTGAACAATAATTGTGCAGGCACAATCAAGTAGTGTAATTAAATTCCAGGATTAAGGTGCTTGATATAAATACACTAAGACGTATGGGCTTCTTTCTCAGGCTAACCTATAATAATCACAACGGGAAGGGGTGGGGGGGCAGAAAACCCTGCCAGCTTATCTCTGAGTTGCCCCTCTGTCCCTGAGCAGGAGGAGCTGGTGAAGTGAGGTGGGTCAAAGCATGGGCTCCGGACCTGGCTCTCTGCTTCCAGGCCCAGTTCCACCTCTATCTGCTGCAGGCCTCTGTCTGGGGAGTTACTTGTCTTTTCTACATTTTAGATCCCTCATCAGTGAAACATAGTTGATAGCAGTATCTATTTCTTAGGACTGTTTTGAAGATTATTTGAGACATTCCATGCAGAATACTTCTTTATTCATTCAACCATTTATTCACTATTTCCTACTCTGGTCTAAGCAGAGTGAATGGAGCAGAGAATAGTAGAAGCACTGACTTGAAGGAGATTCCAGTACACTGAGGGAAAGGCTGGTAATTAACTAATAAGGAACCCTGGTAGTGTGGTGAATGACCAGCTGGGCTGCTAACTGCAATGTCAGCAGTTTGAATCTACCCCGTCGCACTGAGGCAGAAAGATGAGGTATTCTGCTCCTATGAAGATGTACAGCCTCAAAAACCCTATACAAAAACAAAAACAAAAAAATCCTAGACATGGTTGCTATGAGTTGGAAGAGACTCCACAGCACACAACCACCATCATAGTATGTCTGGTGGTGATGACTGTTAAGGATGAGGCTCATTAGATTGCCAGGAGGAAGTTGTTTTGTTGGATAGTGGTGTTAGGAAAGAGCCCTATGAGTGATGAGGTAGGCATGTTTGGACAAAGACTTCAAGTTTGAAAGAGTGTGTTTCAGGGCAAACATGGTGGACAGCATGTAGGGTTACCAGACAAAGCAAGCAAAAATACAAGGCATTCAACTAAATTTGGATTTCAGATAGTGTGATGAAGCAGCATTTGTGATATATTTACACTAAATATTATCCATTGCTTTATTTGAGATTCAAATTTAACTAGGTAGCCTGTGTTTTATCTGGCAACCCCACCAGTGTGGGAAGACAGAACTGCAAGGGAGAATCAGGGAGCTCAGGCCCGAGAAAGAAGGGGCTGGTTTTATGGGATTTGACTGCTATTGTGAGGAACACAGGCTGAGCTATTAAGGGTCTCTTTTTGGCTTTCTGGGGAGGGGTTTGCTGATGACACCGACATCAGCTGGAAGGAGAAACATGAGTAGCAGGCTTCCACAGTAATCCAGGTGAGATCTGACACTAATTCACAATAAATATTGTCCATTGTTGTTGCTCCACCTTCTTGTGATATTGTGGCTATAGTGGCCAAGAGTTCAGGGGACGGGCAGAACAGAACCATGGGTCCCTTTAACAGTTCATGACACCAGCCAAACAGAGAATCCAAAGCTTCACTCAGTGTATCTACACCCTTGTTTGTTTGTTTTTGACATTGTTATTGTGAATTGAGTTCCACTCATCGTTTCATTGCAGTGATTACAATCCCCTCCGTGCATCATCATTCCACAGTATTTGCTTCTATCCCCTCTGGTTTTTTGTTTGTTTGTTTTTAGGGAGGGGAGGGGTGGGATGTATACAAAAACACTCAGGAATATATAATCATTTAAACAATTAAATGACACATTCTGCGAGCCTGCCTACTGGCCGCCAGCATACAGCCTTTCTCTTTCCATGAGTCTAGAGTCCTCAACTGCTCTATCCCTTGCTGATATACCAGAAATACTACAAGTAGATGGTTTTTAAAAACAAATGTATTTTCTCACAGTTTTGGAGACTAGAATTCCTAATTCGGAGCGCCAGCTTGAGGAGAAGGTTTTCTCCCTGTTTGTTGGTTCTAGAGGAAGGTCCTTGTCTCTTCAGCTTCTGTTTCCTGGTCCTTGGAGATCTCCATGTGGCTTGGAGATCTATTTTACCCCATCCCTCCCTGCTCACTTGTTTAATCTCTTTCATGTCTCAAAAGAGAGTGACTCAAGACACACCCTATATGAATAGTACTTCATTAACATAACAAAGAAAACCCATTCTCAAATGGGATTATATACAGGTATGTTGTTGTTATTGTTGCTAAGTGCCATAGAGCGGACTCTTAGCAACTTTGTATAGAGTTTCGAGGAGTGGCTGGTGAGTTTGAACCAATGACCTGTGGTTCAGCCAACTTTGTAGTAGAGTGCTTATCTTACGTGCCACTTCAGCACACCATACACAGGTATGCTGTTGTTGTTCAGTGCCATTGAGTCAGTTCCAACCCATAGCGACCTTGTATATGATTTCTGAGGAGTGGCTGGTGAGCATGAACCACCGACCTTGTGATTTAAACTGACTTTATAATCCAGCGTATTAACCCACAGCACCACCACACCATGACTGCATACACAGGTATAGAGATTAGGATTTATAACATATTTGGGGGGACATAATTCAGAAATAACAGAATACAACTTACTTCTTTTTGCATGTAGATATCCAGTTATTTCCACATTCTTTGTTTTAAAAAATGGTTCTTTCTGACCATAAATGACTTATTTCTGGACTTTCAGTTCTGTTCCATTCATGTCTGTGCTCATCTGTATGTCAGAACCTCATTGTCTTGATTTCTGTAGATTGTAGTAAGTTTATAAATGGGGAAGTATGAGACCTCCAACTTTATTCTTCTTTGTCAAGGATGTTTTTAGCTATTCTGAGATCTGGCATTTCCATACAAATTTTGGGATCAGCTTGCCAAATTCTGTAAAGAGTCAGTTAGGGTTTTCTTAGTGATTGCTTTGAATCTGTGCATCATCTTTTTGAAGAGTATTGTCATTTTAACAATATTAAGTCTTCTAATTAATGAATACAGACTATCTTTGCATTTGTGTGTTTTTGTTTTTTATTTATTTGTTTATTTGTTTTTACTGTGCTCTGTACTTTTCAGTGTACAGGCTTGCACTTCTCTTGTTAAACTTATTCCTATAGACGCCTTGGTCGCAAGACCGCTTATACTATGTCTACTTGATGTTCTCTGGAACTTAGAAGAATTGCATTGAGATCTGTTATAGACGTAGGCACATCTCAGTCAGGTGGTTTTGTCTTGAGGGGTGGGAAGGAGACAGGTCAGCAGAGTAACCAGGGATTATCATAAACTAGTGAAGCTGTGGAATTCGCCGTCACCCGACGGTCATTTACGCACCCACCCATTCACACGCACGCAGACACACACACAAACTTATTAGGCACTTACTTTGTGCCGAGTGCTTTACCTGGATTCGCTCATATGGTTCTTGGAATAAGCCTAAACTATGAGCTTTTCTGATCATTTTACAGAGAAGGAAACTGAAGTTTAGAGAGGTGAAGACCCATCTTGGGAGTGATAAAGCAAGGTTCAGACCCAGGCAGTGACACTGTCTTATTTACAATCCCACAAATGATTTCAAGCAAACAGTTTCTCCCTGTGCGTCACTTTCCCTACCCACTTGTTTTCAATTAGAAATTCGTAAGGGTGAATTTAAACCAGACTGTAAGGTAGGTTTGAACTGCGAGGTTGGTGGCTCAAACCCACCAGATGCTCCTTGGAGCATCTATATAGGGCTGCTATGAGTCAGCCCAACTCAAAGGCACTTAACAACAAGTGTATCTAGAAGTGCATTTCTCCAGGCTCCCTGTGGGAACAGCGATGGATTGTCTGGAGATGTTTAAACAAAAGTGATAAATTTTGCCAAAATTTGTCAGCCAATAAATAATTTTTTTTTTTTCAGCGACCCAACTGTTCTCCTGCAAAAATGCCAGTAATGCAGTGTGTGGTTAGGAGCTGTATTTACTAGTCCCCTAGGATGAAATCCCTCTTGAGATGAATCATTAGACATTATTGGCAGGACTGGTTTAGAAGATTTACTATTAGAAGTAAATACGAAAGGCTGAGAAGCTGAAAAAGAAGGCTTTTTGCTCTTGGGAAGACGTTTCTCACATGAAGGAAACTTCTGACTTCTTCCTGCCCCCAGCAGTGTTTATCTTTGCAGTAGAGTTAAGCAGGTTAATAATTTGCCACCCAGAGAGTTTGGATGCGGGTGGCACATTTGGAATGATTCTTTGCTCCCATCAAAATTCAGTCCATCTACTCAGAGAGGACTGGGTTTTCTCAGTGGGAGACTGGGCACCGGGTACCGGGCACACAGTGTCCTCCATCTCCTCTCTTTCCTCTCCTTAGCAGGGTCTGAGTGCTGTCAGCTGGAGAGGTCAGGAGTCTTTCTTGAAAGATCTGTTGTTGTTAAGTGCCATCGAGTGAGTTCCAACTCATAGCAACCCTGTATAGGGTTTCAGAGGAGCAGCTAGTGAATTTGATGAGGGACTTTTATTTGCATATGAGTTCATAGATATCCAATCACTTTGGCTTTTACTTGCTTCCTAAATGCCTGATTAGACAAAAACATGGAAACGGAGGACCAGAGAGTTGGCAGTGACCCAATGGACCTGCAGCTTAGCAAAAAAAGAACTTCTGGAGAGCCTAACCCATTCTCTAGGCCTCAGTTTGATCATGGCCCTGCCCTGTGAGGATGATGAGCCCAGGTGGGGCTTCCTGGGGCATCAGCATATTCACAGAAGTTGAGGACAGGAAGCCAACATGCCTTTCCAGAGCATAAGTACTGGCTTGCCCCACCCCTACCAAACACAGTATCACTGGAGATAAATGTAATTCCCAATGTAATTCATTCACTACTTCCTTCATAAACCAGCTCTGTACTTGATAATAATAATTGCATCATTTTTGAAACAGCTTTATTATAAATCATTCACTTATTTAATACTATGATGTTGTTGTTGTTAGAGTGTGCCATTGAGTCTATTCTGACTCATAGAGGCCCTGTATAGGGTTTT